GAGAGACAAAATGGGCAATTTTCTACCAACAACTTAATAGAAAGATAATGCTCATTTACACACGAGCGTGTGAATGACCAGGAAAAAAAATTGATTCCCCAACTGGATTCGAACCCAGGAACTCTCTGACACCGGGCATGCGCTCTATCCTCTCCGAAGAGACTCAGGGTGGGCAAGGGCATGTACCAGGTTCATATAGACAAGCGTTCCAGAAAGTGCGAGAATCAGGAAAGTCGACAGCCTACTGCGGGCTTCACATTTACCATATGTCTTTATGTACTGCCATAAAGAACATTCTTGACACGATTAGCCCGCAGAACAGGAAGTTTGGTTAGGTAGAACGTGAGGTGTGCTAAGTGTTCCGCGCTCTGACCTGGTGGTAAGGAACATTGCATTTGTTTTCCTATCTAACTAACGAGCTAAAAAAATTTTATCTATCTTCACTTATCAACATTTTTTAAACGTTTCTCTCTTTGTTTCTATGTGATCCTGCTTCTGCTACAGCGGCCGCACCTCCAGGTAAGGAAAATCAGATTTGGAGAATTAAAAGCTATTGTCTCTAAAATAGAATTGCACGTATGGCTTCGCGGGAGGGCTAGTAAGACGTGACAGCAACTTCCGTTGCCTTTACCGAGCTCAACCTAGCCTGTTCTATTCGTTCGGTTAGAAGTGGGAAGTCAGTGCGAAGCACGAGTGGAAACTGAAAAGGCGAGGGAATTGGGGCGAGAAGGGGTCACTTTCTTTCCTAGATTCCGCTCGTTCTTACACTCGCCTCGTTCCCTTTTCGTTCGCCCTCACAAACCCAGAGCCTAGAACAGGCTAAGCCCAACCCAAGCTACGGTGAACTGGTGTCAGCCGAGAGAAAACGCAACTGATGTCCTTTCTTAGTGCAACTACCTTTCATCGTCTGTTCGTCTATATATTTGTCCATTGGTCAAAAAAAAAAGGTTCCATTCCTTAATGTATGGAAATTGGACAAAAGAAACAGAGTGTAAGCGATGCTTAGCAAGCAAACCGCTGGTTGGACTGTATTTTTTTCGCAGCAGCGTCTCCAGCAGCACCAGCGAACCCGGCCAAAGGAGTCTATGGGTCCCCAATGGCCCAGCAACCGCTGGCATACTAACCACAGCCAAAGGCACCGCAGGCGACTTTCATGCAGCCACCAATGGCGCCCATGTCACCGGCCATGCTTCCGAACATACCACCGGGAATGCCACCTATGGGTGCATTTCAAAACGACGAACTTTGCAATGAAGCCGGTTTATTACCCGGTTTAGCAGGAAATCAACTTGGTATGGACACTGGTCTTAGCGATGCTTCCTTAATGAACGCCTTCCAAAATGAAAATCAGGGGCCGGAACTTCAAAACCATAAACTACCACCAAGCAAACAGAGTATTTTTTTTTCCCCCCACCGCCAGCAGATGAACAGCAACAACCTTTAGCAGATGCGCCAGCGAGCGAACCTCAAGCGGCTAATCCTGTGATCGCACCGCAACCTGGTTGGGAAAGCAGCTCAACAGTTCAATAAGTGCGTCATGTACGAACATCTGATTATCGACTGTCGGTGGGGCTTCTCAAAGGAACGCCCGTGAAAAACTACGACACTAATCAGAAAGGAAATGTTTTGTACACAGCTTCTTCAGGTTCTTCTCCAACAGAATGCATTTTCTAACAGTGATATAGAAATTTAGAGCATAATCAACTAATGGCTAAAATAAGAAAGAAAGCCAGACTCGACCTTGGAACAGGAACACTTGGAGAAACTTGACAAAATTGTAACGTATCTTCCAATGGTAGATTTTCTTGTACATACTGTTTCTAATTTTGTGATGCGATATTTGTTCAATTCCCATGTATAGTGAGGTAATGGTAGCCAAGACAATGTAGTAACTGCTCAGCGAGGAAATAAACCAAACTGAATTTCCATCTTTTGGTCTACGCTACTAGCTAGTTCAGTTGAACGTGGTATTATCCCAAGCCCAGTGTGTGAAAAGTATTCTTGGCATATCGTGACATTTTCAGCACCATCGTAACGTGGTCTCACACCGTTAATGCACCCCCTCATTGCCATCTATATCTCATATTTTCCTCAGCAAGATGACAGTCACTTCGATCTGTACGCCCGGTGGTTCAAACTGGCATGGCCAACACTATTTGGTAGAAAAGGAATAAACCTGCTATCCAGTGGATAAAATACATACTATGCCGTGCACCGAATAGTGATTTATCTGACGGATTGCATAATCCAACGTTTGAACAACCTGGTAACCAAGATTGCGTGACAAGCCGGTCGGGTGTAAAGAATCCAAACTTTTCTGTACACCCTTGAACTGATTTCTTGAAATCTCAACAATTTGATTTCCTATTACAGTTTCTAGTCTCTTTTCTGAATATTTTTATTTGTTTACTCCTTCCTGTGCAAACTTGACGAAACAAGCCAGCCTGGCAAGTTCAGTTACAGGATCGTTTTTGATTGTTCCTTAAAAACAATGGAACTGATGGGAGTAAAACACCGAGGGCCTCCACGAGGCCACGCTTTTGACAAGCTTGACATGCGCAATTCAGTAGTACGTACTGTCGATATTTTCGGACGGTAGCTCGCATCCCGACCGCTAGTTAAGGGAAATGAAGGCTCCGGGTACGAGAATGAGGCTTATTGCCAAGGTTTTATGTGAAACCGAGTTTAATAAGGATGGAAGAGTTTGTGCGAGCATTTCTCATGTTGTTTGCGGCAGACTTAGCCTGCGAACGGACTCCCGGCGAGCACGAAAAAAAGAATTCAGCGAACGCCCGGCCCCGATCGCTTAGCCTCGCGCTTCGCGCGCGCGCACTTGCATCGCGTTAGAACCCGCTAATCCGCCTGTTCTGCAGGCTACGATCGCTTCGCTCTTCGAATTCTTTAGTTTCCGTCCTCGCGGGAAGCCTGTTCACAGGCTACGGCAGACTGAACCTATCCACACCCCATATATGGGATACTGCGCCCAGATCCCTCGCAACAATTAAACGATAACTGTTTTCAACAAACTTCTTGTGACTTTTATTTCTGTTACTCAATTTACGTTCTGAATATAAAAAAAGTCAATTCAAAAATACCTATCCTAAAAAATCAACTCTTGGTATTCATTCGGTATCATTGTGTATAAAATTAGCGTCTCATGACGACTTTAACCCCTCCATTCCCTACAATCAGCAGAATTTGATTACAATCATATGCAGGATAAATAATTTCATTACAACTTTAAATTTTAAATTACTAAATTTCTGAAAATGTCATTTCTTTATATGCCTCTACAATCAGCCCGCTCTTACTATACAGTAAATATTCTATTCTTGTAAAAAATGTAAATAGTGAAGCCAGACAACTTCGTACTTCTCTTGTTGAATTAAGCTGAACTTGAACAAAAACGTATATGTACAACTTTGAGCGAAAGCACACCACCGTCCAGTGGGGGAGAGGGATAGGGGAGACTTAGGTACCATAATCAACGTTCTTGTGTGGTAAATTTATGAAGAACATTTAGTCAGAGGTTAGCCTCACACACAATGATAAGTAATTTAACTTGGCGTTGTTAAATGGAGTCTACAAGTTACATGCAAAGGAAGGTGATGGGTTTTGTGGTTGAGGTTGAAAATTTCTTCCTGGAAAGAACGCGAAAAGAAAGTCTTGGAGTTGACAAGGTAGAGATTACCCATGACGAGTTATTCTGTTCTCTTCCTTGTCTCCAAAGAACAGTATTACGATATTCTTTGTTATATGAATTAAGAAAAAGAGAAAACGATGATTTGTGCTCTCGTGTAACAAAGCGCTTCCATGAAGTCTCCATTTAACTGAATGATTTACTCTGCATGAACACAGTTCAGTCTATCTGCCGGTAATCTCATTCCGTAGTTATTATAAGTCTGTGGTGGAATGCGTGTTTCCAGAAAATGTAACGAACGCTTTTCGCCTCTGTACGTCTTCGCACGGGGGAGGGGGAGGTGGCATACCAGGGCTGCGAGCCCGGTACTGAGGAGCTGGATATTTCACGTGATTTGGGGGTCGCCAATCGTCCTCTCTCCTTTTGGAAGGGGGGCTATGAGCGCAATACGGGCTGGACCCTTGGGAACTCCCGCCACGCCCGCTATCTAGTTCATCTTCACTGCCAAGAAAAAATGAGGTGAAAGAACACATCCCCGTGCCCTATGATAATCTTTTTCAATCTATTTTAAGCTTCGCATCACGCTGTCAAAGTTATTTTTAGTCTCGGTCCCATGATCGCGCAGGCAATGGCCAAGTGTCATCGGGTCGCGACAAAGTAAATAAGAAATTGAAAATCTGGCGGGTTAACAGAAAAAAAATAAGTTTGTTTTGAACTACATGTATGCCACACTGTTAGCATTGGAAATATTTTCAAGCGCTCACAGGGCTGGAAAATTATACATGCTTCTCCAAAGTTAAAAAATTAATAGAGGTCATGTCATTCTCCTGTATGAATGATTAACACAAAGCGCCAAGACTCGGAAAGTACCGAACGGATTGATGCGAAAAGTATCTCTTTCGAAAGTTATTTCACAGCCCAAGACAGCTAAATTCACAATAGGCGCTATAGTTGCTGACAAGAATTCCATTCTAACCCACTCTAAAGTCGTTTCTCAAAAAGTACTGAACGGCCTAAAGCTAATAAGATATCTTTGGAAAGCTCCTTTAAAGTGCCAGACAGTTAGAATTTTTCTCCCTATATCTTTATGAACTGCGCTCCAAGGATCCAGGTGCAAGTTTTTGCATATTTGATTAACTGTTTAAATTAAACCTTCAGTGTTATTACATCAATCCTCCGTAGGAAAAAAAGATGGCGACTGGTACATTTACCCATAGTTCTTAGCGCACTAAAACCTTAACAACGTTCATAAAAACGCACAGAAACGTTATACAATCTCCAAACCTAGGCTACTTAATGTCCTTAGTACAGGAACACATATTGTAAAAATTTGGTTTTCTTTGTGCCTTTTATGCTGTGTTAGGTTCGCAAGGCTTTGTGGTAAAATGTACATCCGCCATCTTTTTTCGCACGGTGGATTAAATTGGCCAGTCGGGTCTCTTTCCTAAAATAGCCTCGCAGTTTGACCAAGCGCTAAAATTAGATTGAAAAAGATTATCATTGCAAGAGGCCCATGTATGGAGGATGTGTTCTCTTAGATCATGGTCTCTTGGCGCGGGTTAGAAATCGCTTGGTGGAACATTTTCTTGGACGCCTTCAGCGCATCTTCCCGACTTATGTCTGGCTCATGATAGCTACCGTGTTTGTCTTCTTCTTTGTTATTTTCACGCCTGAACTTCAAGCAGAAAACTGCTATCAGGCAAACACTCAACAACAAGAAGCCGGCGCACGCTCCAACCCCTATGATCATCTTTGTGTCCGAAAAGTAACCTCCATTCCCCTTTCCCGTTTCCACCACATTATTGTCCGCTTTCGTTGCAGCTGGAATGTTCCCTGGGAGACCGGAGGGCGTATTGAGGGAGGGAGTATTGACGATGGTTTCCTCGGGAATCTTATCCTGCTTGTGGAACGTGTTTGGGAGCAAATTCACGGTGATTTCTGGCTTGTTGTCGTTCTCATCAAGAACCTGAAAGCAATTTGAAAAGATCTGTTCTTTTAATACCTGCACAAAAAGGTTAAGACTACTTCCCAGGATCATCACTTTATAGCCCCTTTTTGGGTCGCCATTGAATCCATTCCCGGGAATATCTGTTGGAAGTGTCACGGAGTAGATTTTGTTTCACAACAGCGTAGACTTTATTGGATATCCTCGTCAGGCTTACAGAGATTTTCTAAGTCTTCCCAAAGGCTTCAAGATGTTACAAGTTTTTAACCAGTGAAGTTGTCACAAGTTACAAGTGAAGTCGGCATAAGTTGCACTCATATTTATGACATGCAGAGAAACCGAATTTACTAAAACTAACGAAATCAGATATCTTTGTTATGCATAAAAGGTGACTAAATCGTTTCTCAGAGTTTAGCCATAAGATTGCAGTTAAGCGTAGGTCGTCTGAAGACATTACAGTTTAACTAAACTTAAAATAATCCAAATTCCAGAACATTCATATGAACAGTTCTAGCATGGTTCTGGTGCTGTAAAATCTTTTGTAAGTCAAAACAGACGGAAACACATAAAGAAAAGTTGTTGAAACACAGTCAGCTACGATGAACACACAAAACTCTCATATTCTAGACAAGAGTATACAGAATGAATATTGTCAATTATCTAAAAGTAAATAAACCACAAACGATATTCCTTCAAAGCTATTAGCATCTTTTCCGATGTTTCCTTTTCGTTTAACCTTTGATTGTCGGTTCAATTAACATAGAACGGAGCTCTGAACTTTTCTTAAAAAAACATATTTCTTTTCTTGGTGGTTTATTAACCCTTTGATGATTTTCACGATAAGTCCCTAAAACAATCCCCTAACAACTGTTTACACACTACCAAGGTTCAGTAAATACTATTGATATATTTTATTCCCCAAGAACGAACCCACAATAAAAGAAATAGGAAAATCCTCTCCTACAAGCAAACCGAAGTACTGAAAGAATATCAGGGAATATTTCCCGTCATAATCAATTCTATCGATAGCAGGGGAAATTCCTGGAAGAATGGAATACTCACTGAGTTAATCAAATATGAATAAATGTCGCTTGAGTAAATATCAAATGAAAACAATGCCACTTGAACAAATATCAAATAGATATCCTAAAATTCGTGTCAACAGAAGGAATGACTGCGTAACGACCCAAACAGAAATAATGAGTTGCTTAACCAACGCATTGAAGCAGTCACCAGGTATCTACTGATAAACGTTCCCTCGGCTTCTCTTCAAACCTTACTAACTAAAGAAAAGGAATCCGATCAATGGGTTGCAGGAAGAAATTTCCAATATTTGAACTGGAATCCGTGACAAACCTACTGACACGAGGCGCGCGTACAAGTACAAGTTTGTTCGAGGGCGAGAAAAAGCGCGCGAAACGAAAGCAGCGCGATGTCCAGAGGTTACAAGTGAAATTAGGGAGCTTAGCCAACGACCACGGCGACGTCGAGGGCGACGCCTAGTATAAAATGAATTTAAATTTTACCAGCGAAATTCACAATTTTCTGGATATGGATCTGTTCCGTGCGCCAATGGGTCTTAAAATGTGCTCAGGCTAGATATGCAATGACAGCGTTCAGTTCCAAAAATACCAAAAATTATCCGTCGTATTTCGCTTTTCCCAGACTACGCAGAACTTAGTCATTTCACGTTGTTGTTTTGCAGTAGTCCAGAGGACGGCAAAGAAATGTACAAAGATTTATAACGCACGTGCACAGCTATTGTTTTGTTCATTCAACCTTTTGTTTGGTGACGTTCTCGTTGCCGTCGTCGTCGTGGCTTGCTTAAGCTCCTTATTATTGTCCCGTCCCCATCCCCTTACAGTCACAGAACACGTTCTATGCATGCCTGCCCCCTCTCCTCCCACGTATTCCTCAAACTATTACCACTGGTTTTTCCGCGTGCTCCGTTTTTGAACTACTTTAAAAATCGTTCTCCAGATAGACTACAATCATCGCTAATATTTGCTTCTACATTTCATTTGGCCTAATCGTACGAATAGAACACCTTCCCTCTGAATTTACGCAATTGCTCTTCGAGGTTTCGCACTATTTGTAGTCTGTCTACATTTTAGGGTAGTGTTCTGGGTTTGGTTCACAGAGCGAACATATGAAATATCGATAGACAGTGCAGATATTGGCCTGAAGCTGAAATGTTTTTCTTCTCTTTCCGTAATTTTCTTTTCACCTTCCTGTCGCCTGTTTTCCTAGTCCACTGGCCACATCAAGTTCGACGGATTTTTAGTAATACACGTTGGGTGAATTTTCTAGACGAGAGTGAGTACAAACCAAAGTAACCTACGATTTCCATGAAGGCCGCTTTTTCTTTCTTTCTTTCTTTCTTTCTCTCTCTCTCTCTCTCTCTCTCTCTCTCTCTCTCTCTCTCTCTCTCTCTCTCTCTCTGTCTGTCTGTCCGTCTTTCTTTCTTCCTTTCTTTTTTTCAGGTTTCGTGAAGTCAAACTCGATTGAGCCCCTGGTAAACTACTAAAAGCGATTAAATCATAGCGAGTTTTTTACCCTTATATCAGCCGTTTAAAGCAAATCAGGAAATCCCCAGCAGAACTCACGTTTTCGGGAAACCGCTATACAGGTAACGAATGATAACCAAACTACGCACGCAAGTTTATATGCTATTTTCAAAGGCGAGCAAAAATTAGCAGTTTACTGGAGCAGCAAAATCGACCTGGAAAAAATCGTTACGTCCCATGCTTCATCAAATGCACAGCCCAAATTTTTAACGTTTATCTTTCGTAATGCGTCTCAGTCTTCCTCAAGCGCATCTTTTTTTCCTTTTTGGTTTTTTTTTACTTCGTTTCTGTTTTTCCACCTTACATAGCTTTTATTTTAGACAACCTTGACTTGAAGATAGTTTTGCTGAACACAGAAAAAAAAATACAATACATTAATGTTGGTAGATACTTCAGCAATAGGTTATGTGGCTGTAAATGTCTACGTTTCTCTTTCCCAAAATCCAGCCTTTATCTGTGTCACGTGTTTTCGTGCGGTCAAACGGAATAAGAGCACTACAGCGCACTGTTAAATCTGTCGTCAGGATAAGAAATATCCTAAGATATTTGTACTTGTTTTGAGTGTTTTCTGCGCTTAACTTAATGGCACTGGATGACAAATCGTGACCTGACTTCCTTAATGTTTATAACTCAGTTTAATAGTCAAATCAAGCTGAGTGCATATAATTTCTCAAGCCCTCTCATGAAATAGAAACTTTAACCTTTAACCAATTAATCCACAATGGACTTATCCGGAAATTCAAGAATATTTCTTACGCCAGACTCAACACTGAAATCCTCCCAGCGGAACAAACGCAATTTGAAGAACAGATTAACGACAAGAACGGTTTCCCGCGCGAAGGATGAGCGTCACGCGCGTTACCCTCGTTGATAGACGAACGTAAACTGATTAATTATCATGAAGAGGTCATTTAACAGATTTCCAGTTGATGCACATGTTTTCTTCTATTCTCTTTTTAGGGAAAAAGCTCACTACCCAAATTTTGACAATTTGAAATTGTCGAGACGGCTTTTATTTCACTTTTGTTTTCATATTCCTACTTAATCCACGCGCAATTCCGTTGAATAATGGATCCACCTCGGTCGTGGTCACGTATCAATTTGCAAACTTGCGGTAAGCTGTTGTTTTTAGTGACAAACTTGTTCTGAACACGCCTCAAACAATTTCTAAACAAATTAGACATCACAAAACGAGTTTATTTTACAACGCATTTAGCCTTTTTTTTCGGGTTGAATTCCCAGGAGTGTTGCTTGCAGTTAAAATAGATGCGTCGCCATTAGTATTGTTGAAACAGAATTTCCTTTGACCATTTATCACCTGATAATAGTAAATGTCATTGCGGTTTCCCTCAATACATGGTCATTTTTGAGCAACTAAGGACGTTTTTAAGGCTTGTGTGATTTGTAACATATACAGACCATTTTGAAAAACTTCCGAAACATTTTTACACGTTACGAATTTAGAACTAGTTTTATTTATTTCACTGTTTTGCCAAGTCACGCTTCAGATATTTTCGTCACCGAACAAAAATGTTCAAAAAAAGGAAAAGAAAAGAAAATGCAAAATAATGAAACGGAAATGGGTTTTACTGCAACCTCTAACCATATATGCAAAATAAAAGAAACACGTACACAACTTTTGTATGTTCCAAAAATAATTTTAATTGTGGCTCTTGAAATAGCGTTCTTTCTCTTTCAAACCAT